CTTTGAGCTAATCCCTCTCTCTCTCTGACCAACTCACTTCGCTGAGTGGTTGTTATGGGAAAAATAAGAGGAGGAAGGAGGCATGCTTACTGCCTTGACTTATTTATAAAAATAAAAAAAGGTGGGTTAAAAATAGAAATAAATATGGACTTGACGAGATCCTCCAAAAAAAGAGGAAAGTGGAAATTTAGAAGAACAAATGCAAGGCAGTAAGCAGCGTAAGGACAGGAGGAAACTAGCAGAAATAAGGATGGCCACCAACCACAGTTTTGACTGTTTTGACTGCACTTGAAAGGCTTAGCAGTTGAAGACAAGGATGTTCCCAAAGATAAGGGAGATGCTGTAGGCCAGACTCTGAAGAACAGGCAATTGAAGGAGGAGAAGCCAGCTTAGAGGTAGGCTGAGCTGCCCTCCTTAGAGAGTTAAACCTACTATTATATTGCTCAATTGTGGATCCAGGTCCATGGTGGACCCTTAAGGGAACCCAAAAATGGCAAATGACATGAGGACCCAGAGAACTCAAAAGATGCTAGGAGAGAATATATGTAGGTCAAGATCAGTGATGGTATCCAGCTGGTTCTATCCAGTTCTGGTGAACTGGTAGCAGCACCTGTGGGTGGCTCCGCCCACCTACCTGGATGTCATCACGTCCCATTTTTTTACGCTCTGCACATGTGCAGAGGTGGCGCGTGCACCCCCATTTGTGAAGGTAAGTGAATACCACTCTTAGTCAAGACTGAACTGTGGTATTCTTGGTGCTCTCTGAATTCGACATTTCATTACCCAGGTATATAACAGCATCAGTGCTAGAAGGGAGTGTGGTGTGCTCTCTGTTTATATACAGGTGGCTTGCCCTGTCCCTGTTGGTGGGAGTATTCATTGGTAATTCCTTGATTAGGCTGTGTTGTTTACTTTTTTGAATGTTGGTCTGGTGTTAATCCTCTCTTATTTGGGTGTTGATGGCTGGCCAGGAGATGTTTTGGTCTGGGTCTTTCTTTCTTTTCTTTCTTTCTTTTTTCTTTTTAGCTTTTTAGATGCTGCGTGGTCAACCAGCTGGAAAGAGCAGCCCTGACATTGGAGGGGAAGTTCGGGTGTTAAAGACCTCCAGTGGGGAAGCAGCCGAAACCTAAACGGGGCTGGGGATTCAGCGCAGGAGGAGGTCCTCAGACCTAGACAGCTGGCATGGAAGAAGGAAAGCAGAGGCCTTAATGAGCCGGCCAAGCTGAAATATCTTCCTTCGCAAAGGGTGAAAGGCTGCTGCACAACGCTGCCGATTGCTGCTCCCCCCACCCCGCCCCGCCCCATATTCGGCCCCAGCTGGCAGCGCGATGCAGCAACCCTGCGGAAACCAAGGGGGATGGAAGGCTGTGGCCACTACCTCGCCCTCTGCTCTCCAGGGAGAGGATGCAAAACGGGGGACGCGGGAGGGATAAGACTGGAAGGACAGATCGCCAAGGACCTGGCCGGGAGCGCGAAGGAACCTCGCCGTTTGCGCTCCTTCCCTCGAGTTTACGAGGCCTCCCAGCTGCGCTTTTCCTACAAAGGACGTGTGGAAGCGACGTCCTGCCTTACCAGGGAATTTAGGGCACTTAGGGAGACCTCCCGGACCATGGTTGGAGGCGATTCAGAAATACTCGTCCGGATTTTTGCAGCCCACGTGTGGTAGCCGTCAGTTAGGGTAACTCAATAGGAAGTCACAGGTACTCTGCACCTGTCCCCCCCCCCAAAGCATGTCGGTCTTTTATTCTTCTCTGGCCCAGATCGGGTCCTGCGGGGTCTCGCCTTGTGTCCCGTCGGCAGAGAGGATACTAGTCACACTCGGTAAGGTGTCCGGGCCAGAGGGTCTCCCGAAGAGAGCAGGTGGTAGCTCCTCCGGCCTTCAGGAAAAACTCTCGCGCAGGAAGGCGCTGGAAACAGGCGGTCTCGCTGCGTGACAATCAAGAAGGGAGGCGATCTTGATGTCCCCTCCATTGGCCTGGTCCCCGAGAGGGAGAACTCCGCCGAGGCAGGGGTGAAATCCAGCAGGTTCTGAAGAACCGGTAGCGGAAATTTTGAGTAGTTCGGAGAACCGGCAAATGCCACCTCTGGCTGGCCCCAGAGTGGGGAGGGAATGGAGATTTTGCAGTATCCTTCCCCTGCCACGCCCACAAGTCACGCCCACCACGCCCACCAAGCCACGCCCACAGAACCGGTAGTAAAAAAATGGATTTCACCACTGCGCCGAGGTCTTTGCACGAGGGCAGCGGGAGAGATGGGGCCATGGGCTGGCGGTCGAAAGACTCCAGGCTAGCCCCGCCACCTCCAGGAAGCGCGTGGGACCTTCGCCCAGAAAGCAACTTGAGCTGGAGGCAGGCGAGGCTTTAGCCAGGAGGCTCAAGCCTTTCCTTTCCTTGATGAAGCGCGGGACCCGGCGCTCCGAGGACCCAAGCTTGTCCGCTTTGGAGTGGTGGCAGGGCAGATGCAGGCGGGCACGGTTGCAGGGAAGGAAGGAAGGGTGAGAAGCCTCTGGGCCTCGAGGCAACAGATGTCCCGCAGGACACTTAAGTTCCTCCTTGCTAAAGAACAGGCGAGCAAAGATGCCGGCCAGCCACGCCAGTTCGTGCAAAAGGCATAGGAAATGGCTAAGCTGAAAACTCGGGGGAAGAAAGTCACCTGCCGGCTTGTTTTATTTGGATACATACATTCGGGCCGGAGGCGGGCAGGTGCCCAGCAGGCTGGGTCTGTCACGTGCAGAAAGGCGGGGAAAGTTGAAGGACTCTGTTTTGGGGGGCCCCGCTGGAGAACAAAGACAGTCCATGGCTTCGGTGCCCTGAAGAGGACCCCGACAAATTCAGCTCTGATGAGTTAAAGCTCCATTTTAGTTCAGCTTTCTTCTGGATATCCGGATCCAGATGAGGATAGTCCCCTTCCCAGGAAAAAGTTGACCGTGTTAGTTTGGTTTTTTTTTTTTTAATGTCTGCGGAAGACGAGAATATTGGAAGAGTTGACTGAGGCACCTTTTGCAATACCTCCTGTATATACATTCCCTTCGCGACACGGTTTTAGAGAGTGAGCAGAGCGGTGCGTCCCGATTTCAGCAACTGTAAGGCGTCAGCTTCCACCTATGTTTTAAAGTTTCAAGAGTCTGACAAATTTGGGAGGCCCTGACTTGTCAGCTGTGGCAACCGTTGCTTTCCTTCATCTCTTGCTTTGCTATAGGTGCCCAGCTACCTCTGTCTTAGACCTTCTGTCATATTTTTTTTTCTCACCTGTGGGTGGATGCGTGTAATTCAAGGCGTGGAACGTATCTACGGTAATACTCCTGCCTCTTTTCCCTATCACACAACAACCCTGTTAGGCTGACAGAGAGAGAGAGAGAGAGTTTGGCCCTAAGTGACTCAGCCGGCTTTCATGACGGGACTAGAACTCACAGGCTCCCGGTTTGTAGCCTAGCACCTTAACCATTAGACTAAACTGATTCTCACCTGAATTCCTCTTGGGCCCTTTTCCTTTCCTGTTATACATGCGGATCCTGGTCTCCTGATGATGAAAAGAGGCGGGGGGAGTAGGAGAACAGAGCAGCGGAGTGGTTTGTTTGTTTGTTTGCTCCTTCCACTTTTTAGATGCGCGCAACGTTCACGCGCACTTTTCCTGCCCTTCTCTCTCTCTCTCTCTCTCTCTCTCTCTCTCTCTCTCTCTCTCTCTTCACTCCAGCTCCTCCTGCTGAATCGAAGCTCTTTTGTACCAAAGGAAAAACGGCGAGAAGCAATGGTCAGACTTTAAAAAACAAAACAAAAAAATCTTGGCCCAAACCACACCGATGAGTTGAAAATCCCCGCATCCAAAAATCGACTCTTTGTAATGTTCAGGTTGCTCAGAAGCTTTTGGGGTTGTTTATACAGGGAGATCATATTATTTATCATATCATAGATAAATATTATCCGGAGGGGGGAGGACGGGGGGGGGAAAAAAACTGGTAGGAAGAGAAAGAGGATTGTCATCTCTCAGTCTCCAACTTCTCCAAGTTTTTCTCTACCTCCCAGAGAAACCTGAAACAAGCCGTAAACTTCCAGACATAGACTCCTATGCTTGCAGTAGGCCTCTTTTTAGACCTTGTCAATTTCACGCTGGAAATCCAGAGTTTCTATCAATTTCTCATCACTGGATTCGGATTCATAACCCCACCCCACCCCCCTTGGATTAATATTGCCACTGGCTTCGAACCTCGAGCCTGCCTTGATGACTTATGCCTCTTGATTTCTATGGGCATCCCAAGACATTGGAATGTAGAGTGGGTGGTGCTGATTTGGAGCAAGTTCCTGAAAATTAGGACTATCATATCTGGAGTTCCAAACTACGGACAACCACTAAGAGGCAGCAGAGAGACACACATTGCTAATAACGTTTTGGGAACATCTAGGGGTTCACAGGATTTGTGCAGAAAAGCAATGGACTTGCTGGAAATGAAGCATAAACTCAAAATTGGGTAGGGAATGGAAAGGGAGGGAAATAACCCTCCGGCCATCCAAATATTGCAACCCTGGTTAAGGATAGTTCTTCTCTTTTAAAAGTAAGTGAATCCAAAACTTCTTAGACTCTCATACTTTTTTCAAAGTTTTGAAAAATACTAACTGAGCACAAGTGTTTGAAATTGGGGAAACCTCAAAATCTTGGATCTTAGATGGAAAGAAGAAAGAAAACTTCACAAGGGAGAATTTTATTTAAACTTGCTAGAAATAAACCTACTTGGCTCTTCTACTTTGCAAGATAACTACAACACTGTTGTGTCCTCTCTTATATAGGCCAGTGTTTTCCAAGAACCTGGAAAGTTAACGCTTGTGGACTTCAATTTCCAGAATTTCCCAGCCAGCTTTGAAAAACCTTGAGGTAGACCATCCATATATCTTCATTTATAAGGCTTTATTTTTCCTCAATGCTTGAAAGCATTTTTGGTCATTTGAAGCAGAGTAGAACCGACCCCAGTTTCATATAGAGACCAAAAAAATGTTTAGTCAGGTAGGTAGAGTTTCATATCTGTGTCCAAGCTTATTTTATTAGTCTCTGGATGCCATTGTCTATTCAGTAGCTTCATGCAGCTCCAGACAATTGCCAGCCAGCGAGAAATTACAACTAAACCAACATTAAGAATAATTCTCTAGTCTCCACCATCTCTCACTACACGAATACCTTCAGTGTCAAGTGGTGGAGGATTCTTCTTCAGCTGCCTGGAAGAAAAAAAAAACACTACTCATTTTTTAAAAAAATGCTGCACTATTGTGAGTTCCTTGTAATTTCCATCAGCCTCTCTCTGTCTCTCTCTCTTGGGCTGATAGACTACATCCAGCGATCTATGGAACTAAAACCCCAAGGCAATTGCAACTGCCCTCCCATGTACGTAGCTCGCCTAAACTCTCTGCAGCTGAGATGATTGGGCTACAAAAGAACAGGCACTTGTTTCCAAAATCTTTTATGATCCATCTTCCCCGGAGGCTGAACCTTTCTATTCTGTGCCTCTGTGTTATAAACAGGAGCTATTTTCCACGTTAGAAAGTTATGACAAGATCGCCCTCTTTGTACCGTCGCGGGGGATTAAAAACGGCCCTTTCGAAATGTTTCTTTTTCGTCCCTTGCCCTAAAACCTAGGAGGACGCGCGTGGTTAGCTTGCTTCAAATAATGCCCAACTCTCTCTGTGTGTTTGTTTGTTTTAATGGGAACTCTAACTCTGCATATGGTTTCCTCAGTTTCTCGAACGGCGATGAAGCCTCCCCAATGACCTATTTTATCGGCTACTTAAATTTTCCAGACCATTTTCAACCCTTAGGCTGACAGGTAATCTGTGAACGTTATAGGGGGTCTCTCACCTCTGCGCAGATACATCTCGTCTTACTCTTGCTGACAAATATTAACCTGCTGCCAATTTTCTTTTTAAGTTGAAGAGGAGTTTGTGGGGGGGCGGGGGGGGAGAGAGAAAGAAAAGAAACATGTAATTGATGTTATCCCGAGAAAGCGCCGTCTCCACCCCTTTCACTTCCAACCTTTCAGGTACGAGGAGGGAGCGAGTGAAAATCTCTCCAGACCTTTTTTATTTTTTTAAAATCTCTCGCCTTGTTGTTGTGGGCGCTTCCCCCCCCCCCCCCTTTCTATTTTGCCTTCTTCAGGGTTAATACATTGGAAGGCAAGCTTCTCCCGCCTCGACCAATCAGGACTCAGCGCTGGAAGCTATAATATAGAACTAGAGCCAGGCTTCACTCACAGGCGTTTCAGCTCCCATTAGATCCCAGTCTTTATTATTTCATTCCGTTTCCACTGTCGCTCCCCCCCCCCCACCCTTCCCGCTTCCCGCCCGCAGCCCCCTCCTGCCTTCTACGCGCCACGATCCTGAACTCCGATGAGTCCCGTTATCGCAAGCGCCCTCCGAGATGCACCTGCTTTGCTAGAGATCGGGGGCTAAGTCACCGAGAGGAGAGGAGAGGAAAGGAAAGCAGAGGAGAGGAGGAGGAGGCGGGCGGGAGAGGCAGGCAGGCAGCAGGAGACAAGGAAGGGAGAAGCCAGGAGCCGAGGGAAGAGGGCAACTCCCGGGCGAGAAAGGCAGCAGCGGGCGCGCTCTCTGTCACTCACCCGCACTCACCCGAGCCACGAGCCCGGTAGAGCGCAGGGGGCGGCGAGGGGGGAAGCCGAAGGGGCCGCTTGCTCCGTGGAAGGCATGTTGCTCCTGAGAAGAACTGGGCTCCTCCCGCTCTGCCTAGGCGCGCTTTTCCTCTCCGCCGGGCTGGCTTGCGGGCCGGGCCGGGGTTTCGGCAAGAGGAGGCACCCGAAGAAATTGACCCCTTTAGGCTACAAGCAGTTCATCCCCAACGTGGCCGAGAAGACGCTGGGCGCCAGCGGCAGATACGAGGGCAAGATCACCCGGAACTCGGAGCGCTTTAAAGAGCTGACCCCCAATTATAATCCGGACATTATTTTTAAGGACGAGGAGAACACGGGAGCCGACCGGCTGATGACCCAGGTCAGAGACGCGCCCTTCGCCTCTTGCCGACCTGCTCGCCTTCCGGCCTGGGGAGGGGGAGCGGACTGTAATCCGACAGCATTGCCTCCCTCCGGGGCTCTCAGCTTCCCCGGGCGTCGCCGACCCCGGTTCCCAGGAGCTGTCGGGGGAAGGGATGCGCCGGCGGGGTGGGGGAGAGCTCCTTGGGGATAGCATCGGCAGGGCTGTTGATGCGACCTTCCGCCTCGGAGGGAGGAGGCTCCGCGTGTGAATACGGTAGCCTGATAGTTGCAGGCAGAACTGCGCTCGGCCGCTCCCTGCCACCGAGTTGGGTAGCTTGCTGCGCGTGTTAGCCTCCTACCACGCCACCGATCTCCCCCACGGGGACTCTCCCCTTGCCCTCGGAGACAGGAATCGCCCAGCTCCGCTTTTTTCTCTTCCTAACCAGTTTCTTTTAGATTAACCCTCTTTCCCCGTCGCCTCTCACACGCCGTGAGGATGAAGGTCAGAACCTGGCATCTCCCGGGGCGGTTCTGAAGTCCAAGGAGCAGGATAATAAGAATAAGAATAATCAAAGGCGGTATCCGCCAGGCTCCCTTTGGCAACTGTGTCTGAGAGCGCATTGATCGCCTTTAAAGATGCTCGCGCTTCCCCCTCCGCTCCAGACCGGTGATAGCACCCGAGGGGGAAGGACGGGGAATTTAATCGGCACAGTAAACCCCGGGATAAAAGGTCGCGGATTGCGCATCCATCTCTCACGACCCTCAGTATTCGAGGACTAGAAATAGGCGACTAAAACTAGGCACCCATTAACCGCCCACCCTCCGTTCCTCGATCGGCTTTCCAACCGAATAATGACCGAAAGCTGATTCGTCCAGGGGGAACTCTGCGAATCAGGCTCCGCTCCACCTCCAGAGTTCGGGCGGCCTTTCAAATTCTCCACCACGCCGCCGGCCTCGGGCGACTGCCGTCGGTTGCGTCCCCTTCCGAAAATAGGTCAGCTGCCTTTCCTTTCCCGACCCCTCCCGCGATTCTGAGGTTTAAGCCCCACCTTCAGCACCAGGGAACCAGCTCCATTTCGCCCGAGTCGCCCCTGGAAGGGCGGAGGGGCGGCGGCGTACTCCTCGCGTCTTTGCTCGCGTCCCGCCCTGCCGTTCCGCGAGGAGTTCGCTTGGGGTTACGGGAAGCGCGCCCGCCCGAAATCTCCATCTGACCACCTTAAATCTCACGGCACACGGGAAGGTTTGGAAGCGCGCGCGATGCGAGTTCCAACAGCTGCCGAGGCCGCGACAGCGCTGCCTCCAGGAAAGCGAAGGCCCCCGAGAGCAGAAGGCGCTTGTCAGAAGGCGAGGCGACGGTGGGACCAGCGCCACTGAGGAAACTTGAAGCTCCCGGTTGGCGTTCGCGCCCCCCTGCCTTTCTTATGTCCCCGCTCCCCCACCCCCACCCCCTTCACTCATCTGCAAAGACGGGCGAGACGGGTTAGCTGTGCGGCTGCAAGTCAACCGCATCTCGCGTTTTCAGCTTCACTTACTCCTCTCCGATCGATCGCCAGGGCTCGGGTTTCAGCCTGGAGCCTGGCTACAGGCGGCCGGAGAGGCTGCGAGTTCCTGGCGGGGTTGGCAGCGACGCGGAAGCCCAGGAAAAGCGCTGCCGCCGCAGCCGCCGCCGCTGCTATGCGCGGCAAGGGGTCCTGCGCGTGCGCGCCCGCCTCTGCCGGCGCAGGGTCGCTTTCCTACGCGCTCCTCCGAGAAGAGCAAAGGAAATGCACCTGGGCTGGTCGTACTCCCGAGGAATCCGTCTGGAAGCTCCTCCAGGTGTATAGGACGTTTACGCCAGTGCTAGTGAGCTGGGGGTAATGGGTGTGTAATCTGGACGGTCTGGGAAGGAAAGGGAAGGATAGGTCTGGAAGGGACGTAAATTTGGACCAAGTGGCCTGGATTTGTGGGGTCGAGGTTGGGCAGAAGAGAGGCAACGAAGAGGACCGGGAAGCGTCGCCCCCTCGGACCGCCGCCTTTCCTGTTCTTCCCCGCCCCCACGCGCGCTTCCCACGAGCCTTGTAGCTTCCTTGTTTGGTGAATCGAGGCACCTGCAAGGCAAAGCTCTCCACTTCCCCACTTCTTCACCGCCGGCCTCCTTGGCAGCGTTCGCTGGCAGCCTTTGAACTTCTGACCTTCCGCCAACTTCCCTCAGACGCAACAAACACCGCGCCCCAACCCCGCCGCGCTAGGCGCACTCCCGGGAGCTTCCCATCGCGTCTCGCCTCGCTCCTTTCCGGATTCTTCGGCCGCCCAGGGCGAGCTCTGGGCGCGGCCCAGAGAAAAATAGCCTTAGCCGAGAAGCAAAGAGGCAGAGTTTGTGGGACGTGCGCTGGGGGAAGGGGATGCTCATGGACGCCGGATGACCGTGGGCATGAAGGCAGAAAAGGAAGCGACGCGGTGTTACCCCCCGCGGCGGGCCTCACTACCCTAGGTAGTTACGGTGGGGGAGATTCGCTAACATAGAACGCCGCTTGGCGGCGGAAATGCACCTGGGCGGCCCCGGGTCCTTCGCCTCCGCCTTGACCCTTGTCTCGCGCAGCGGCCGGGCAGCTTGGACAAGGCAGTCTCCCTCCTGGGGCGGGGCCGAGAGGGGAGGAGAAGCCTTTTCGGCAGAGAAGCGTCCACCTTTCCAACCAGCCGCCGCCGCTGCCAGTTAATATTAACTAGATGAAGGGAGGAGAAAGAGGCAAAACCCGGGAGAGCTGGAGGGGGTTTCTCCGGACAGGTGACGGCGGCCTTCTAGGCGCCCCCCCCCCGGTGGCCTACTCTGAGTAAATCTATGGGGGACATAAGGGTACCAGGACAGAGTTGCGGTTCGTCTGGAAAAACGAGCCCTTTCTCGGCCCGCTGGGAGGAAGGCAGTACAGTCCGTGAATGTTCCTTAGCGTGTTTCGGGGCTTGAGTGGGGGCGGGGGAGCGGGGCAGTCCCTCTCAATCAAGGGGATCGAGGCTGCACCCCATGGGATTCATTCCTGAAGAGATACCCCACGCGGGCCGCCTTCCTTCTCAGCAAAGGGGGAGAGAAAGTGAGGAAGCACCGAGACGGAACGGCGCCCTGGAGAAAGCAGGAGTAGCCTGCATGCCTAGGTCAGTTTAGCCACCCTCCCCCATAACTCGGCTCTTTTCTGCCCGAGCCGTCCTGCAAAGAAAGGATCGGGCAGATCAGATGCCTTGGAGGAGTGATGGAAGCCAAAGGTGCTCAGTGCTGCTGTCTTTGCGGGTGAGGATTTCTATCCCAATAAGCCAGCTCTGTAGATCTTTCCTTCCCCTCCCCTGGCCGGCGAAGTTCCCTCCGTGAGCCCGAGAACTCCGAACAGCTGAGCTCCCCTGACTCTTCCTCCAGTCCAGCCGCGCGCCTTGGGCAACCGGCGTCGGATTCTTCGTAGCCCCAGACTTTTCGGCTCTTTGGACGCTCACGGAAGAAGCGCAGGTATGGGGGATCAGTTTCTGCTGTCTAGTTCCATCCGGTCGGCAGAGATCCGGGATCTGCTGTTGGTGCGGTGAAGGGGTAGGAAAACCCACTCGTGTTTCTGCTTACCTGCCCACCGAGCTGATGTGCTTTTTACGCATTCGCCTTCCCAGCAGCAGCCTTCTGACCTAAACGAAGATGATGATTATGACTTAAATCTCCCTCCCCCGCCTCCCCAAAAGATGTCACTCTTAAAACAGTTCTCCGCGGCAGCGATTCCTAAAACTGTTGAGATGCATGTATCTATCTTTGCCATCCTTGGTTCAATAAGACGGCAACTACAAGTCCCAAAAGTGCTTTTTCAAGAGGCAACTGGACTTTCTCTTGAAAAAGCGCCTTTGGGGCAACCATGACCTGGATGACTGAAAATCTCCATGGATACAAGTTCCAGAATGCCCAGGCATTTGGGAGTTGTAGAAGCCATTCTTCTAGAGAAAAGTGGAGGGAAGGTGTGTGGAACTGTGCAATTTCTCCCCTTTTGCAATGCAAATCTCACTTGTGTTTATACCAAAGCAAATCCCACTGAGTTTTATCGGGCTAAACTTCATACTGAAGAAAATATATAAAAGTCAGGGGAAAGGGTGCCAAATTAACCCCGTCTTAAAAGATAATGGTGCAAAAGTTGACTCTACCAGGGGGGAAAAATAGCTTACTAGTTTTATACTCCGTGCTGGAGAGGTGAAATGGCAAAAGGTATTCCTGGGAGAAAGTCAAAGAAATTGTCCAGTGTAAAGTCATTAGCCTCTGGAAAGGTTTGTTCTATCCTTGCTACAATCTTAGAGAACTATTTATGCTTTGCAGCAAAACTGCAAAGACTCAATAACTCCTCCTCCTCCTCTATAAACTCAGTTATTTTTTTCTCCCAGAAATCCTTTTTTAAAAAAATAATGCAATAGAACACTGACCTATCTCTTATTTGCTTTTGTGGATGCTTCCAGAAAGATGTCCCTAGCTTTAAAAGACTAATTCATGGAGTTTGAGATAAATGAACATTGGTTTGGAAAGAATTGTTTACTTTCAGAGGCCACTTGCTTAGAAATCTGTCTCCCTTAAAAGTTTTGAAGGCTGGCCTTTGTGGAGAAAATGCTAGGAGATTACTAGTACGATAGACCAAGGTCCTCCTTGCTTCCTTCTCCATTGAATCCACATTCTGTGGGAACTTATGGCCAAGTTGCTAATGACTTTAGTTTCTAGGGTCATGGAATCCCAGTACAGTCCCTAGCTACAGAACACAGGAGCTCAAATAAGTATTAACAGGGCCAGACTAGAGGAAGAAGTGAAACATCTCATTATCTATTCACAAATAATAATTAATTAATTATATATTGGGGAACATCCGTCCTGGATGGATGAGATTCACAAGAACCTAAGGGCAATATCGGGTTGGTGCAAAATCACAGGTTATTGTTGGGCCAGCAAAATTTTAACTGTTCCTGAATTGTATTTTCTCAGATTGTGAACAGTGTGATCAGAACCAGTTTGATGTAATGTTTAAGGCATTGAGATAGAAAACAGGAGGTTATGAGTTCTAGTCTCGCCCTTAGATACAAAGCCAGCCTGGTGACCCTAGGCCAGTCACTTTCTCTCAGCCCTAGGAAAGAGGGAATAGCAAACCACTTTTAAAAACCTTGCCAAGAAAACTGAACAGTCTTGTCCAGGAATCAGACAAAAACAGTTTTGGAAGTGGGGGTAGGGATGTGTGTCTGTGTTGCTTGCTGAAGTGAGAGAAACTTCATTCAGGTACAAAACTTAAGAATTTAACCTTTTTGTGTGTGTGTATACAAATAACTTGTGTTTATCTAGATCCATATGCTTTCATACCTTGAAGCAGTAGAGTCCAGCTTTTGCAATCTCCAAATCTGGCCAATTTTTTTTTCCTCTTCATTTTTTTTATAAAGCAAAATAGATGCTTCCAGTTGCTGCAGGATCTAAGAAGATAAGATACCTTATGTCTTCTTCCCTTCCATTCATTTTAAGATGATTCCTGGATAGAAGTCATTCAAGAATGAGACATGTGGAGCTAAATCTGAAAATCTAAATTCTTAGGGAGTAAAAGCCCCATTAGTCACAGAGGTGGATTTACTTCTCAGGCTAGGAAAGTTTTATCTTACTAACTTGCATCTTTTCACAGAAAGTTAAGTCGGTCTATATTTGTTAACTACATTAAGCAAAATAGAATTTATTTATTTATTTATTTCTTATTAACGTTGCATGTGGCCCCATTCCCGAAGATCCAAGTCTATTCAATTAATCAACTTTGGGAGTTTAGACCATTCAAACATCAAACGAATCCGAGTTGTCTGATTTAGCAAAATAGCTTACCTCCCCTCCCATTCAAGCTAAAACTAACCAAGTTACGCATACTTGTGAATACAATTACTGAACGATTAGCCTTAAAGGTGTTTGGAAAATCCAATCAATGCCAACAATCTTTCATTTATCTGGGAAGGAAACTGGTTCAGTGGATGGGGTCTTCCATTCAATAGTCATTTTCCACCAAGGAAGTAAGACTTCAAACCATAGCCCAAGTCCTACCAAGCAGGGAATGACTTGATTCCAATCAGTTCTCAAATAAACCCACCAAAATTAAGGAGACAGTTAACTGTAGGAAACTTAAAACCCCAGTTTAGCTATCAGTGGTTCTGCTCTAATCTTGTCAGGATCCAATCAACCTCTCTCTCCTAAAACGTTTAATATATTATTTAATTTTATTGGCTGCTCAACTCCAGTGGGCTCTGGGCAATATATAAAACTATTTAAATATTTTCTAGTCCATCTAGAGGTTCTATTGCTGCCAAAGGACACATAATGACCTTGGATTGTTTTCCGGCCCCTTCTCAGCTAAGCTGGACAGGTGATTTGATAACTGGTAAAGTTGGAGTTCTGTCAAATTGACTTCAGAAAGCAAGTTGGCCAAAGGTGTTTTGGGCTGTTGCATCTAGTTTTGGACTGGAATGACTCTGGAGGGAGAGTCATTCCTGGAACTGTGTCTCCCTTTGCTCCTCTCCTGCCCACGTACTGTAGCAGGAGTTTCTCCAAGGTCCAACTTTGGGTCTTAGGATGAAGGTCCACTCCGAGACAATAGATGTGGTAGCATGTCAAGACTAAGCAACATGATGGAAGCATAACTTTCAGATCCGGCTTCCCTTGTCTGGACACAGAAGCACAGTTTATTTAACAACCTCCATCATCTCAGCCAGTAGAATTTGGTGTCCTGTCCGGGGAAGAGCGGGCTTTGTAGAACAGATATCAGAAGGTGTTGGGGGAAGGAGGGATGGTTGCCTCAGTTTCTTCCAGAGTTTGTCTACCTCATCCCTGGTGAGCTGCACTCTCCCTCTTGTTCATCTTCCACCTAACCACGTTTCGAACCCATCCTTTAGTAATAGGGCAAAATGCATAGGGAGTTCTACTCAAACCTCACAAGTAAGCAAAGTATCTAAAGCTGTGTTTTCCCAACTTAGCAACTTTAAGACCTGTGGACTTTGGATCCCAGAATTCCCCAACTAGTTCATACCTCTTAAAGGTGCCAAATTTGGGATGGGGGAAGGGGGAAAGATGCTCTAAAACAGGGGTCTCCAACCGTGGCAACTTTAAGGTTGGAGACCTCTGCTCTAAATTACATCTACTCTAACTTCTGTCTCTATGGCAACTAACCTGCCTTAGGATGCTTAGACTTGGGCAAAAGATCAGCGGCCTGCTAGGCCTCGCAGCTTTTGTCTGCTTACAGGTGGGAGGCATCCTCTGCGGGTAGCTTAAGAACCCTTTAAACAAAGGGGAAATGAATTATTCGATTAGCATTACACAGTTCACGCAGGAGAAAGTTAGGGCCACCAGATTTGGACCGCAAAGCTCTTGAGATGACCTATCTGGTTGCTACCCGAAGCTGGAAGCCCTCCACAAGTGTCTCCTGTCTCCCATTTTGGGTCCACTCGAATATCTCAGTTGGGAGGGAAACCCGGGTCACACGATTTTGTTCCCCCTGCCGGGACCGCTTGGCCACTGGAGACCTGCGGGCAGAAGCACCGCAGGTCTGGCTCCCGCTGTGGGACTTCGCTTCCCCTGCCCAGCCGGCCCGGCCGTGACAATCCCCCATCCCCACCCCACTGAGCCGCCAGCTGTTCTGACTCCCTCCGCCACGCTCGCCTCTCTTCTGCTTGCTCCCGGCAGCGCTGCAAGGACAAGCTGAACGCGCTGGCCATCTCCGTCATGAACCAGTGGCCGGGCGTCAAACTGCGCGTCACGGAGGGCTGGGACGAGGACGGCCACCACTCTGAGGAGTCGCTGCACTACGAGGGCCGCGCAGTGGACATCACCACCTCGGATCGGGACCGCAGCAAATACGGCATGCTGGCTCGCCTGGCCGTGGAGGCTGGCTTCGACTGGGTCTACTACGAGTCCAAGGCGCACATCCACTGCTCCGTCAAGGCCGGTAAGCAGGGCGAACGAGACGGGGGGGCCCATCCTCTCAGGCGTGGCGGGTCTGTTAACCTTGGCCAGGGTGCAGGGAACCCGAGGAATGGTTTAAAAAATCAAGGCGATAACGGACACCCCTGCAGGGATGAGACGCATCCTCTTAAAAGCATTTCACTCTGCAGAAGGGGCAAGTAGTAAAGTAGGAGTAACACCTGCTGTGAAAGGATAGGGCATTCCTGTTGATGCTGAAGGGATCTCGGAGACCTGCCAGATATTTGATACTGTTAGTTGGAAGCAGGAGAATACTTTGGCTGAGTTTCCCATTTATTTAGCCTCCATAAGGTGTTAGTTGAGAGATAAGAAGGGCAACTGCTGTGTTTCACCAATGTGAGTATATACACACACACGAGGGCAAGGTGCAGTCCACCTTCCTCCATAGATGCTCCCTGGATGGCCTTGGCCAAGTGCATGTTCTTTCTCTCTCACTTTCCTTCTCCCTCTCCCCAATCTACCTCACATGGTTGTTGTGGGAGAAAGTAGAAGAATGAAATATGCCTCGTGTATGCCAGTTTGAGTTCTTGCATGAAAAATGGGAGGTGAGCCACATCGGTGTTTTTCAAAACCTGGCAACTCGAAGTTGAGAGAACTTCAACTCCCAGAATTGTTGGAGTACACCCGTCTTTGCCAGGTTGCCAAGTTAAATAAATTAACCTTTTCTTTAGTTACTCCTTTAACTACTATCAACCATAAACTATTATCCAGAAATCTCCAATTAGTCAAGAAGGGCCCGAAAACGGGAAGGAGGGTGGGAATATCAGGGACCTTATCCAGGTTCCTGGAGGCCTGTGGACCTTAAGAGACAGAAAAGCTGCGTCTAAGAGGGCGGTGAAAAATGTAGGGGGCCGAAATAGTCTTGAGGAAGTCTAAAGATTAAAGCGTAATCTTCTAAACCTTTCGCCCAGGGGTGAAATCCAGCAGGTTCTGACAGGTTCTGGAGAACCGGTAGCGGAAATTTTGAGCAGTTCAGAGAACCAGCAAATACCACCTGTGGCTGGCCCCAGAGTGGGGAGGGAATGGAGATTTTACAGTATTCTTCTCCTAGAGTGGGGTGGGAATGGAGATTTTGCAATATCCTTCCCCCAGGAGTGGGGAGGGAATGGGGACTTTGCAGTATCCTTCCCCTGGAGTGGGGAGGGAATGGGGACTTTGCAGTATCCTTCCCCTGGAGTGGCCACGCCCACCAAGCCACGCCCTCAGAACCGGTAGTAAAAATATTTGGATTTCACCACTGCTTTCGCCCAATCGGGGCATCCTCAAATGAAGGAGCTTTGGGGCATTCTGATTAAGTGCAATAAGCCCCACCCACTTTCTTCTCGAGTAAATGAGAACGTGAGAAACAGCTTGGCACATCCAGTGCAGGGCGGTTCTGCGCCCAATGTTCTGATCCCAACTAAGGTCGCTCAGCATCTGCTCTCCCTCACCCCCACCCCCCACCCCCCGAGTTGGATGCTTCAATAATTTCTGCCGGGGCATCCTAGATTGAGATTCAAGCTTCTGTTGCAATGGCCTCGGCCGCATCTTCACAGATGGGTAGAAACGAGGGAAGCTGCTGGCTGGGACCTTTTGAGCTCCGGACGAGTCTTGTGAGCACAACCTAAGTAAGATTCCTGGCAAAGAATGGGGCTCAGAGCTAAAGCCCACTGAGGAACGGAGCGGGTTTCTCAACACAGCACCGAGCATCCCCCTCCCACGCCGTTTCCACGCTATTTCATCTCTTCAGGGGGAAGCTGAGACCCCCTGAACTCAAAGCAGGTCTTCCTGGACCCTCAACCGATCAGCCACAACTCAGTTTGTCAAAGTCAAACCACCCCAAGCACACCGGGTTGACTTGTTCCGCCGGTCTCGACTCCCGAACCCAACCCCCAACCCCCTCCATTCACAAGAGATCCCAGAAGCCCTCGTTGTGGTTCCTTTTAGAAATCTTTTCCTTTTGGTGTGTGTGAGAGAGAGAGAGAAGGAAAAGAGGGAGGGAGGGTGGGAGGAGAGAGAGGAAAAAGAAAGAAAGAAAGAAGTGGGAGAGAGAGAGAAAGAAAGGAAGAAAGAAAGAAAGAAAGAAAGAAAGAAAGAAAGAAAGAAAGAAGTGGGAGAGAGAGAGAGAGAGAGAGAGAGAGAAGAAAGAAAGAAAGAAAGAAGTGCGAGTGAGAGAAAGAAAGGAAGAAAGAAAGAAGAAAGAAAGAAAGAAGTGGGAGAGAGAGAGAAAGAAAGAAAGAAGTGCGAGAGAGAGAGAAAGAAAGGAAGGAAGAAAGAAAGAAAGAAGTGGGAGAGAGAGAGAAAGAAAGAAAGAAAGAAGTGGGAGAGAGAGAAAGAAAGGAAGAAAGAAAGAAAGAAAGAAAGAAGTGGGAGAGAGAGAGAAAGAAAGAAAGAAGTGGGAGGGAGAGAGAGAGAGAGAAAGAAAGAGAGAAAGAAAGAAAGAAGTGGGAGAGAGAGAGAGAGAGAGAAAGAAAGAAAAAGAAAGAAAGAAAGAAAGAAAAAGAAAGAAAGAAAGAAAGAAAGAAAGAAAGAAAGAAAGAAAGAAAGAAAGAAAGAAAGAAAGAAAGACCAAAATGAACTGGGCAGAGGAGGGGATGAAAGGTGGCGAGGTGTGACGAATGGTACCCACGCAGGAAGGAAGGAAGGTTTGGGAGCGATTAAAGTTCATTCATTCATTCGGTCGCGGGCACAACCCCCGCTTGCTGAAGCCATGCTAGGAAACAGATGCGGATCCCGCGCACCGCTTTAGAGGCCGCCCCCCCACCCCCCAGTTGGGATTTGACCATGCAGGCGCTCGATCGTCTGCGCGTTTTCCGCGGCGTCGGTGAAGATACAATGCGTATCTTGGCCCTTTTGATCTTACCCTGCGCTCCTCCTGCCCCATCCCCACCTACACCCCGTATCCAGAGCATGCAGGAGACCTCGAGGGAACTTTGTTCGTGTGTCCCGCCACGGATTGGGACTTTTGCCGAAAGCAGCAGCTCCGGTTCCCCCTTTGGGGATGGAAAAGAGCGAAGGGGAAGTAGACACGCTTCTCGCCTCTCCGCCTCCCCTGCGGCCTCCGAACCGCTTAAGCCGGCATTGATATTTCAGTGGGGCAGTGAAACAACCTGCAGAAGCTCTTTCTCCCTTTTGCTGTTGCCGGGATGACGGAAAACTTGCAATTTCTTTCCGAGCTCCGCTTTTTTTAAAATTCAGCCTCCTTGCTGTCAGTATTCCTTCGTGCTACGAGCGCCCCTTGCTGGTCCGGTTGAGAAACGCAGCCTCAAGGGCGCGTGCTGCTCGCTCGCCTTCTGCATAAATTGTCGCTTTCAAGCAAAACAGTTAACAATATTTTTTATTTTTTTTTGCGGAGACGCCTTCTTGTTTTGCTACCTCTCCTCCTTTGTTGACTGGCGCTTAAAGAAAACACTCTCGAAGTGCCAAGAAACACGCAATCGAGATGAAAAAATAATTAACTGCCTCTAAATATATCAACTGATGTGAGAACGAAGCAAGGATTAAGAGAACCAGCGTGATATTGGGGGGTGTGGGGTGGAATTCATTCAAGGCAGTGGGTAAGATTTCACTAGGGGACTGGATTCCCCAAGTAGATTTCCTAAAAAGCAACTTTTCTTCCCAGTCTGCCAGGGTCAGATATAATTATTTTTCATTGGAAATTGACTTTTTCTCAAGTCAAAGACCCAATTTTTTTTTTTTTATTATTATTATTATTATTATTATTATTATTATTATTATTATTATTATTATTATTATTATTATTTGCAAGGTATAGGTTAAAATCCCTGATGCACATTTTAAAATAATGTGAACTATAATCCCAGGCATGTGACAATATCATAGATTTTATATTTTCAGTGTGGAAAATGTAACATCCCAGATGTTTAGCTTGCAATAGAATTGGAGAAGTCCCTTCGCTCATTTAAAGTCCAGTGTCGGTGACAATAGTAATGATTTCTAGGACTAATGAGTCAGAAAGCAGGACCAGAAAATCCCTGGTCTGTCCTGGTGTCTTAACTCTGACAAGACTATGTCCATTTGGTTTTCTTGGCCCTTTTTTTTTGCCTTGTCTCTTAAGAGACAAGAGCACTGGATGTGCACAGTGCAGTTCATACTACAGGTAGTCCTCGACTTACAACAGTTCATTTAGTGAACATTTGAAGTTGCAACAAAAAGTGAACTATGACAATTTTTCACATTTATGACTGTTGCAGCAATCCCCGTGGACATGTGATTTACATTCAGATGTTTGACAACTGATTCACATTTATGACTGTCCCAGGGTCATGTGATCCCTTTTGTGAGCTTCTGACTTTCAAAGTCAATGGGAAAACCAAATTCACATAACAACAGTGTTGCTAATTTAACAACTGTAGTGATTCGCTTAACAAATGTGGCAAGAAACGTCGTAAAATGGGGCAAAACTCACTTAACAAATTTCTCACTTAGCAACCTAAATTATGGGCTTAATCGTGGTCATAAGTTGAGGACTACCTGTATTTTATCCTATTCTTTCTGAACCAGGTTGCTTGCATTCTGTGGTGGGCAATGTTGCCTTCTCAATATTAATATTCAACTTAGTTTCTGGATCCAGATTCAATCATGTTGCAGTAGCCCTGGTATATTGGGATTTTTATTTTATTTTGTGCCTTGGAGTCAGTGTTGACTCCTGACAACACTCTGTACTTTTGTCAGTAAGGGTTTTTCAAAGTGGTTTGCCATTGTCCACTTCCCAGGATAGAGAGAGAGCGACTGGCTCAAAGCCACTAAGTTGGCAACTGTGCTTAAGGCAGGACTAGAACTCATGGCATTGTTTCTAGCCTGATGTCTTAACCGCTTCAGTACACCAAACTGGTTCTCCTGACTTAGTTTGATCCAAACCACAAAGTGAGGGGTGGAGGCATCATCTCGTCTTTGATCCAGGGAGCCAATGTTGAAACTACGACAAGTGTGAACTCTGCAGGCAGAATCTGACCTATATTCATG